TGGATGGGAACCAAGATTATACCCCAGTTCTGACCCACCCAGACACAGCAGAGACGAAGAGGCATTAGGACTAGGATTGGCGAAACACTTGAAAATCCAGGGGTTTGTTGCTGTTGTTTTCCTTTACGCATATGATAGCTGACAAAGAGGGGAGATAAAGTAGAAAATAAGAAGAACAGAAAGTAATAAAGTAGTAAAGAGAGCAAATGACACAAACAGGGAAAGGCAAAAAGGTATACCTTATCACAGGGGGCACCAGGAAAGCTCCTTGCCTTCAGTGGAGGAAAATTCTAGTCGAGATGTAAGAATCAGACCAGATGTTTCAGAACAGCTGGAGAGTTCTCTCTGGGTGCAGAGGCTTCTGCCTACCTATCAGGTCTGGTCTTTTGCTTTGCCTGTTAAGGAACTTCATTTTATGAGTTCAACCAGGAGTGACCAAAGCTAGCTGAGAAATTATACTGAGCAGCCGGTCAAGGGGACTCAGCTCATTCTCAATCCAAAAGGCCTAATATCGGGACAAATTAGTTTACTGCTCAAAAATTCTGAATAAATGAAGTCACGCTACCTACTGTAATACAACTGCATGCATTGTTACTTCTGCTGCCTATTCAGTGTCCTTTAAATATTAATTACTTTTTTTAACTCTTCTTTTTGAGTATTCCTTTTCATTAACCAAAAATTTCTATCAATATAACGATATTTCCTTCTAGCAGGTACATCCAAGATACTAAATAGTCATGTAGTTAAAAAATGGACTGGATGTCACAGTAGCACAAAAATGCATGCTGAGGGACACCTAGCCAAACACAATCAATAAAGCAGAAACATCTAAAAGGTCATTGGGGATAAGTAGTGAAGCCAAGCTTACAATTTGTCAGCCAAATGCAGTCTGGTGGCCGCCCCCAAAAAGCGCTTGTGTTTGACAGCTGAGCACACCGGCAAGACAGAGTGTGCTGCCCGTGCTCTCCTTGGGGATCTCAAGCTAGGAGACGTGAAGAAAAGTAGCAGATTTTTGCCACTGCCCTCCTTATAAAGAACCTTGGATGACTCATGGATATCGGCAAACGTGTACTAATCACTGTATTACAAACGACAAGTTAAAAAGAACTACAAATTTGTCATATGTCTAAAAAGCTATTGGCTGCATTGAACATGTTGCTGAAAGTGTCAGATGGATGCAGGTATGTTAACAGTCTAGCAGCCACAGATTTAAGGTAAACAACTACAACTTCTTACCTGACAATCACCCTTCGGGTTAAGCCACGTGTCTTAGTTCATTCAGGCTGCCAAAACAAAATGCCACAGACTGGATAGTTTATAAACAACAAAGTTACTGCCTACAGTTCTGGTGGCTGGAAATCCAAGTTCAGGGTTTCAACATGCGTGAGGACCCTCTTATGGGAGGCAGACTTCTAACTGTATCTTCACATGGCAGAAGGGGCTAGGGAGGTTTGTGGGTCTCTTTTATAAGAACACTAATCCCATTCATGAGGCTTCACCCTTGTGACCTAATCACCACCCAAAGGCCCCACCTCTTGATGCTATCGCCTTTGAGGGTTCAGATTCAACATCAGAATATGGGGGGAGCATATTCGGATCACAGTACCACGTAAGTGGGTTCCGCCGGTAGCCAACATACAGGCTAAGAGGGAAGGAAAACAAAAGAGAAAGCGGAAGGGGAAGGGGAAGGGGAAGGTTTCCACGGGGGAGTGGACAGGGTAACACGATCTGATTTGGGGCAACACTGTACAGGGTCCCACATGCGGGACCGGAAACCCGAGACCGAAAAGTCATATACACATTCAATACATTTTACACCTTTAGCCTCAACTCTCCCAAAATACAGAATTCAGTGAAGCAGAACACCCTGCAAGGATAAGCACTTCTTTTGTTTTTAAAACTACGAGCAGCTTAAGAAAGCATGTCCAATGAGCACAAGAGTGTGAGAAGAGTTTAGCAGTAATCCTATAAATTCAACCTAAATATGTAACGATTCACTATAAACAAGCATCCTACTATTTGACTGCACAGGATCGTAAAACTTTCTGTTCTGCAATTACTCAGTTTCTTCTATATTAACATAAAGCATCTTCATTCTCACTTCCTTGGAGCCCCAGAATCGTTTTCCCTAAAGACTTACCTATTAGAAAATCAAAACTTCATAAACCAATGGGTCCTCATCATCCAAAAGAAATTTGCAAGAAATCCCTAAAGACTTTTACAAAATGAACTTAAACTGAAATCAGAAACCATTTCAGAAACAAAAATCCGAAGACTTTCATGGCTAATCTACTCAAACTCACATTTCAACACTAATCGGAATCTTAATATACACACTATTAATCTTCTAAATACACATCTTAACACTCTGCAGTCAGCAACTACTATTATTCAAATAAACTCTTGTTCACACACTGATGTCTGGTTCGCACATCCGCTTGCTTGTCCCGCACTTGGACTTGCTTCCCAGCAAGCTGTAATATTTCCTACAAGCTTTATCAGCCTGTGACTAAAAACAGAGAATGGATTTCAGTTCCGAGGAGGATTTTTGACATTCCTCCACTAAATGAGGTGGGAGGCCTCTGCACCCCAATGGCAGTTGCAAAATCCAACTGTCATTCCCAAATGCCAGCACCACTTCCCATCCCAACGTGCACGCGCACACACATACACGCACAATCTGCCTGAAGATTTCTCATGTCTCCTCAAGTGTTTTTGCCTTTGCTGTGAAGTCTCAAAGCCTCACGTGAGGAAACAGAACCAAGAATATTTACAGGTATGTCTAGATACCATCACTTCTAGGCAGAAGCCAAAGATAAGTGTAGTAGCAGGCAACGTGACACTTGTGAAGTAAACCGAGTGAGAGGTTACAGTTGGTAATAAAAAGTTTTAGTTTACAGTTTGAGGGGGAAACTGCAGGAAAGACTGGTTCTTAAGTTTCAGTTGGGATTTTCTGCTTTATAAACCATACTGCAATAGGTGAATCTGAAAACCACAGCATTAAAGCCATCTACTGTTACGTATGGAGGCAAAAAATCAATCCCCTCTCCTAAGACTTGAAAATATGCAACAAAATTCAGCAATCTGAATAGATTCAGCCATTTACCCAGGTCCACAGTAATTACTATGATTTAATTCAGATAAGTTATATAAAACCTCAAATCAAGTCTATGTCTTGTTTTCACTTTTTTTACTGTTTTGTTTCGATGTCAGGGTGAAGATGTATTTACAAAACATTACAGAGAAAAGTGTGGGGCCAAGAAAACAGCGACAGGATGTAAATGAGTAATTTTTATAATGACTTTTGGAAACAAGAAAATAAAAGGGGCACAGAAAGCCTGGAACCATCTTTGAGAATCAGCCTAAACTGGAGAGAGAAGAATGAACAGATGTGCAGACTTCAGAGACTGAAATTTTCAGACATGGATTAAAAAATAACTATGATTATCACGTTTAAGGAAATGAAATGTTAGCTTGAAAATGTGTGCAAGGAACGATACATTGTTTTTTTAAAAATAGCTAACCAGATTTGAAATATGAACAGAACTTACAGCAATAAAAAAATACAATATTAACTTTTTCAGCTGTTTCATACAAGTTTCACACATACAGAAAAGTTAAAAGAACAATATAATAAACACTTGTATACTACTACCTAGCTTAAACTTAACAGTTTTTTACATTTTATCATACTTTATATATTTTTAAATTTGCAAAAGTTGCAGACATCATATTTTACCCGTAAATATGTGAGAATGCATCTCTGAGAAATAGAAACACTTTTCATAAAAAAAAGAATGAAAAAGAAAAAAAAAGAAAAGGGGCCCTGTTTTATTCAATAACAGATGAATAACAATTAGTTCTAATCGTTTTTGTTTTAAAATACCATCATTACTAATTATAAAAATTAAGTCGTAAACAATGTTGAAACTTAACAAAACGAAAATTGCAAAACCTAGCACTAGCAGGATATAAGGAAAGCTGTATACTTAAATATTAATGATAATGCTAAACTGATAGCCTTTGCATAGAGCAATATGGCTATATGTAACAAGATCTATAAGCAATCCATGCCCTTTGACCCAGAAAACCAGCTTTAGAAACTATATCCCAGGAAAATACTCTCCAAGTAAATAAACGCAATTTGTTCGACATTGTTTAGAGCAATGCTATTTGTAATTGTTAAAATTTGGAAACAACCCAAACACCAAACTGTAAAAGAATAGTTACGTCAGTGAACTGTAATCCCAACTCTTTACTCCCTTCCTGCAATATATCCCATCCCATCATGTCCCTGTGACTTGCCTGGGAATCTTATGGAGTGAGTGGAGGTCCCTGACTCATTGATTTTTTGGCTGGGCCATGTGGTACGCTTTGGTCAATGGGATGTGGACAACACATCTGTCATCTCCATAAAGCAGCTTTAAATGAGAACATATGCTTCTCGCTCTATTCCTGCCCTCAGCCATGAGAGCAGCATGGCCCAGGTAGGGGCTGTCACTCAGCCTGGTTCTCAAATGAGAAGACACGTGGAGCTGAACTGAGTCCAGTCGAGCCACGGAGAGGTACAGCCCACCCACAGCATTCACATAACATTGAAAAGGAACAAATGTTTGTTGTTGGAAGCCACTCAGATGTTGAAATCTTTTTTGTCCCTGAAGCGAAACTAATAAAAGTGATCAAAATATGGCAAATTATAAAGTAACTGATATAAGAAAACAAATTGTGAAAAAGTAGAATAGGCAAATACCAATAATATCGAAATAAAATAAGGCAAGCAAACAAGCACCAGAAATTAACTAACTTAGAATGATGTAACAGTTTATAATTATTTTTTTGTAAATTGAGTATTTACTCATGTATGTCTTTAATTCCCACTTAAATGCTAACTCTTTAGTTGTTTTTCAACAATTCTATACATATCATATTCATAAGAGAAATAATTCTCTCCAACACACCTGTTTCTGCTCTATATGATATAAGCATTAGCGAATACTTACGCCAAAAGTAAATCTAGTGCAAGTGTCAGTATTCAGTCTTTGAATGTACGAACTCAGGGCTCATCAACTCTTTTTTCAGCCTATAACGGAAGGAACTGTAAAAAAACAAACAGAAGCCAGAGTTATTTGCTAGGATCATTAAACATTATGCAAAGCAAGACCTGAAAGAGCGTCAGATATCTGAAAATAAAGTTGTACTACCTTTGAATTTATGTTTACGATCTATGCTTAAAATTCCATTACGTTGGCATGATTCAAGAATCAAAAAAATACACATCGTCTCAAGCAATCTCACTCATGGAAATTTATTGTGAAATAAATCCAACAACTACTAATGTGAAGATTCTCACTGTGGTCTTCTGTAGGATACCAAGAAATGTAAATGTTTGGAATTTCAATAAAAAACAACAAAGAGGTTTATAGTATATCATTTATATGCAGATATACTAAAATATTAATTACTAAAACAATAAGTATGAAAATCATGTATATGTGAAGGAGTATATAAAACTATAACTATGAAAACATGTCTATAAATGAATAAAGACTAGAAAAACATGAAAAAATTTTTAAATAGCTGGAAACAGATCTGTGGGTAGACTTACCAATTTTTTTCTTTCTTAAAATTTATTTTAATTAGTTACAAGTATACAGTATATTGGTTAGACATCTATATAGTTCGTAAAATGATCCCCCCAATTACTCCCTCTCTCCCCTGACCCTCCACCTAGACAACGTATTCATGCTAACTGCATTCCCTCTGCCGTGCTCCCCATCCCCGTGACCATCCATCAGCTACTAATTTGTACTTCCTTAACCCTTCACCCCATTCTTCCAGCTGCCCAGCCCCCCTGCTGTGGCCATCTCCAAGTTGTCCTGTATATTTGTGAGTCTGTTTTTGATTAGTTTGTTCTTTTTGATTCTTAGATTCCACAGCAGT